ACTCGATACGAATATTGACTGTGAGTTGTATCATTAAAACCGTCAAAAGACAGCGCATTCTCACCTTAAAAAAAAAATATCTTCAAGAATAACAACTGCAAGATATATTATAAGCAGCTTTAAAAATACACTAAAAAATATACCATCGACCTCCTTCCTGAACCACCTTTTTGAAGCCCAAAGTGGCTGCAAATGAGGCTAATACCTCCACGTCGAACTCTATAAGAAAATAAAGAAAAAAAAAGAAAATAGGAAATAAAATAAAAATAAAAAATTAATTAACAAAAATCAAACACCTTACAATAATATACCGTTTTCGACAACAACTTTGCACGTATGTGTTTAATAAAATAAAGATATCACTAAAACTATTTTTTTTTAATTTTTTATTGAAATAGTTGTCTGTCGTTCGTGGGAAAAAGGGAAACGCGAGTGCGTAATATATAAATATTGATATGGCAAAATCATGTGATCATATAATTACGAAATTTTTGGAATATTCGATAATTTTCCAAAAAAAAAAAAATTATAGTCTCTTTCAAAATTCAGATTTATAATGTTACGTTCAAGTTTTCTGTTTCTAATAACATTAATAAAGTAAAGATAAGGTTTTATGTATATATAAATTGTGCATCCACGTGATCGCGAAAGTTCCAAACTTTTTGAACTAAACCATATTAACCGAAAGGAAAACGCAAATAAATATGTGAAATGATAATTAGCAAGCGAACCGTTAATTATACATGTACTGATTTATTCTGTTCTTAAGCATCTTCAAGTACTCTAGATTTCAAGCAAAATTGAGACAAAATCAAAAATAACGACTCGAATGGTAATTCAGGTGATGACAATAATGATGAAGTCTCGTCCAACGAATCTAAAATGTCGAGAACTGATCCATGAACTAAAGGCCTAGCTTGAATATATTCCTGGGTTATATTGTTTGTTAGAGATGACATAACGAATTACATCAGTAATTTTCCCTCTAAAATTTGAAAATTTCTTTATTGATCAAATGCAATTTTATCATTTCATTAATAAAGAAAATAATTTACTTGAGGGATTATTTAGAAATAAGAGACAATCGTTGGTGTGTGATTGAACAATTATAACAATTCAATCTCGTAAATTAATAATTTATAAATTACTCTTTTTTATTTATATATATATAGAGAGAGAGACATGATGCGCTTGTTGCATCGCTTCGAATTCTTAGAAGTAGGATGTTACGCGGAAAATTCTACGTCGCAATGTACAAAAGAATATGAATATACTTCATAGGTGTTATATTTAATATGTACTATTCTCATAGTACCATAAAAGTTTCTACATTTTTAAAAATACGTACGAGTGTTGGAATTTTTTTTTTTTTTTATTACTGATCATTTCGGATGTACGCGTAAATTTCTTAAGTTTCATTTTTTTAGTCTTTTTTTTTTACCTTTGGTTCCTTTGCTTTAGTTATTCATTATTAATAATTATTACAATCCGTCTTGGATCTCGTCAAAATATGCGATATATGTTTTATTTTTTAAAAAAAAATTTTTTATCACAGCCGCACTTCCTGCGCCACTAAAATTAGTCGAATCGATTCCAATTCCAATGCATTATCATTGTATTATAATCAACAATAAACAAAATTTGTTTTTCTCTAAATAAATAAATAAAAGAAGAATCAAATTAAACACATTTGAATGAGACTAGTAATTTTAATAAGCAGGCGGTGAAGGTGGTGTTACAAGAGGTGACCGTCATTGATTTAAATTTTGATTTTAAATTTTGCACATGGGTTTGTAATATAACTACGGGGGATAGCTAGTACTTAGTCTAGATTTGTTTGATTTACTTTGTATTTCTTTTATATAAATTTAATAAAGTTACTGGCAGTGCCACATCGTTAAAAAAAAAAAAAAAAAAAAAATTTTGCACATTGTAGAATCCGTTTTCGATAACCGGTTCACAACCTCTACAAAATTATTTTTTATTATAATTTAATATAAACTTATAAAATTCTTATTATAAAAATATATGCTTTAATAATTTTTAATATAATTTAATTATTGGTTACTACTATTATTATAAATATTACTTTAATATAAGTTTAAATTTAAATTTTTTTTTTTTTAATTTCAAAATTCAGTTTGTTATTAACGTTAATATAATTAAATTTGAAATTGATCTAATTTTTAATATTATTTAATAATAATATTTAATATAAAATAATAGAATGAGTAGTTGATATAAATGAGTATTACTTAATTCTATTATTTTATAAAAATTTCTAATTAAACGTATAAATTAAATTTTATGTGAAATTTCTTTCATTAATTTAATTTATTGAATTAATAAAGATTAAGAATGTAAAATATTAGGAAATTGATTTCGGTTAAAATAAATAAATAAAAGAATAGAAAAAATTTCATTAAATAATAATATATATACTGTACATGAATGTTTATAATAAATTTATTATCATGATATTATAGAAAAAATCATGCATTTTTTTAATTTTAATTGCCATTTGGATTTTTCATTACAATACTAAAATATTGTGAAAGAAGTTTATAAGAAACCAGATTCTTGTAATAAACGAGCAATTTTTTCATCATCACGTTTCCTATTTAAAATTAAAATTATTAACTGATTTTTTCTTATTCTAACTATCAAACATAAAGGCACAATTATAAATAATTATCTTGATTCTAATAATAGACTCTTGTCATATAAGTCTCTAATGTCACTACTATCTCATAAATGATATTGTATAAACGTTTGTATTTCTGATACTGGAGTAAGATTATAAGGTACTGATTGATACTGTTAAATTTTACATATAACTTCTGCTGTTTTCATACGTTTTGCAAAATTAATCAATTTATTGGAATTCTTAAGATAATTAGGATTTTCATCTTCAATGAATGTAAGATCAGTTAAATATAAACCTAAAATAGTTTTATTAAAAAAATTATAATTAATTGAATTATCATTATTTTATTTAAAAAAAAAATGAAATATTATAATTTATTTTACCAAAAAATGGTATACATGGAGGATTTATATTGTGTAAAATATCTCTATACTCAGCAAAATTTTTTGTTAAATTCATAATTTACTAAGATGATCAAGTGTTTAAACGGTTTTCACATTTACAGTTTTCTAAGTAAGTTTCAACCGATGAATCAGAGCAGAATACAACACAGAAGTAATTGCTGTGAGTGAGTTGAAATTGTTTAAAATTCTACACTTATTAGCTATTGCACACACAATGTCATTATGAGGGTTTGAGAACAGAATGTCCATACCTCATGACATTGTATGTCTGTGGGAGATATAAAATCAATATTGTTTTTTATTGTTTTTTATTATATTAGAAAAGCTTCTAAAGGCTCTAGAACCTTAATTTCTATATTATTTTTCGGTTATATTTATTAAGTCTAACTAAATAATGTGTATCAGAAATTGATTCTGCATGATTTTTCTCATTAAATTGCATATTAATTAGTTAAGTCTAACTAAAATAAGTCTAACGGTCCTTATTTCCTTATAAATAAGACTAACGAAAAATTAAGTCTAACTAAAATAAATCTAACAGTTTTTGTCCTAACTTTTCCTTAATCAAGAATTGCTTCTGCAAGGGTTTGTGCATTAATTAGCATATTGAAAAATCATGTGACCTTTTAAATCTAACGAATTTTACTATAGACAAGAATGGCTTCTATACAAGCTAGCTCATTAAATTGCATAATCTTTAAATAAATCTAATGAGAATTTTGTTCTAACTTTTCCTTATGATTTATAACATTGTGTGTTTGTGGGAGATGTAAAATCAATATCAGTTTTTAAGTTATATTTATTAAGTTTAACGAAAAAATAAGTCTAACGAGAATTTTGTCCTAACTTTCCTTAATCAAAAATGGGTTCAATGCAGGCTAGCTTACTAAAAAGCATATTTTATATAAAAGTCTAATGAAATGTCATTCTTGCAAAATCTGCGAAATTGTCTCAACTTTTCCTTAATCAAGAACGAGTTCAGCATAGGCTAGCTTATCAAATAGCATACGAAAAAATATAAAAAATAAGTCTAATGAAAATTTAGCAAATTTCCATTGGATATTGCATCAAAATTTAAGTTAGCCGCCTTTTTATTTATTCTGGTTGGCAACTAACGCAATAATCTCCTTTTCCCATTTTTATTAGAATGAGGTATTTCCTGCAAAGAGAAATATTAAGATTTGTAAGCGTATTTCTATAGTAACCATTATTTCCTCATAACTTCTTTTTGTATCTCTGATCGAAGTCTATCATAGAATTGGCTAGTATAGGATTGGCCAATATAAATTCTTTCTCGTTGAAGTCTATTATAATGTCAGCAACATAATAACCTCTAACATGTAGTGAACATCGTCTATAAGCAGAGGCTATAGGCTTTCCGCAATCAGAACAAGGTATACATTTTTTAGCCTTCCAATAGAATCGACATCCTTCAGGCCTAGTACTAGCATTCCCACAAGCCTTTTCAGTATCGCGGAAAAATAGGCAAGAATATTCGCTGATCATCCTACTTTTTTATTACAAGATTCGAAAAGATTAATTAATAATTAGTTAATGCTTCAGTTTTGCAATAGCTAGAACTGCTTGAAAAGCTTGTAAATACTTATCTTCAGTAGGATTTCTATGATCGAAAAGTGATAGGTACATAAAAAATAAATAATTAAAGAAAAAATTATATAAGCAAGTAATAGCACGATGATTAGAACTAACTAATATATAAAATGTCTGATGCTTACCCAGAATATATAGAAGAATTTAGTATAGAGATAGTTGATTTTAATCTGATTGGTCTTACCACCTATATACCTTTACCAGAAATTTTGCCAAAATATAATAATGGAATTATTAATATTTAAAATAATGATGACTGGTGTTTCAGGTGGAGTGTTCTAGGAGTTTTGCATCCTGTAAAAGTTCATCCAAAGAGAAATCCGCATCGGCTATATAGAGGTTTCGTGGAGAAACTTAATATGGAAGACATTCTAATTCTAGTACCAGTCTCAACACCAGTTTATAAAAAGTTCGAAGAAAATAATACTGAAATCAGTCTATGTGTCTATGAATGGCACAACCAGAATGAGTGTCTTGAATTTCACTATATTTCAGAAAGAAGAGGGGATGAATATAAGCAAGTAAATCTTCTAGTAATTATGGAAGAAGAAAGAAGTCACTACTGTATTATCAAAGATTTACATAAGCTGGTATACAATTATAGCAAGCATAAAGAACAAAAATATCTATGTCATTATTGTTTTCATATATACTCTTCAGAGATAAGATACAATAAATATTTGCCAAAATGCAAGAGTCTAAGTAATGCCTCCCAGCGACCGCAAATGCCAGTTAAGAATAGAAGTATCAAAGCTTTTTATAACCATAAATGCATGCAACTAATTCTATATCGCATTTTCTGGGATCTAAAAATGTTAACCAAAAAGTTAACTTTAGAAGAGAAGACGAAGTTAACCCATACTGAAAGATTACAGATGCATAAGCTGTGTGGCTATTGCTATGTAGTTGTTCGTATAGATAGTTCACTCAACTATGAAATCATAAGTCATGATTTATATAGAGGTCCAGATACGTTTGAAAGATTCGTTACAAAAATTGAGAAGGAGCTGGCAAACATACAGGAGGACTTATCTGTGCTTGCAGAAATGATAATAGCATCAGGAGATCTTAAAGCATACAATGAGGTGACAGAATGCTGGATTTGTAAGGGATCTTTTTTAAAACCAGCACTAGAGATATTACAAAAACTTGAAGAAACAAAGCATAATTTATTAGAAATCAAAGAATGGGAAACATGCATGGAAAAAGAACATCCTAAAAAGAAAGAGGCACAAAAAAGATACCGAGAAGCTTTAAGTGCACTTAATCAAAAAGTAAAAGATCATGATCATATAAATAGAAAGTACCGAGGCCCAGCTCATGACTCTTGTAACAAAAAATTGTGAATAAGCTCTTTTGAAATTACAGTGCCTCTTATATGTCATAATTTTTGGGAATATGACTCTTATTCGCTTATAAAAGTTGTGAGCAAGTTTACGGCTGATAAGCTAAATTGCATCCTAAAAAATATAGGAAAGTACAAAGCTATGGACGTTGGCCAGCTCCGATTTTTTGATAGCTTTCAGCATATGGGAATAGGATTAGATAAATTAGTAGAATGTCTAGGAGTAAAGCTTGAAAAATTCCCCTAATTGTTAGATACTTTACTGAGAAAGACTATTCAATAGATAAGATTAAGCTTCTTTTTCAAAAGGACGTTTTTCCATACGACTGGACAAATGCATGGGAAAAATTCGACAGAACAAGCCTTCCACCTAGAAAGGGTTTCTATTCACTTCTTAGTCAGCAAAATATTAGTAAAGAGGATTATAAACATGCTCAAAAGGTATGGTAGGAATTTGAGATAAAGAATTTTGAAGAATATCATAACTTATATCTTGAAACTGACATACTTTTACTTGCGGACATTTCATGAACTACACTATCATATGTTTGAATGATGATGGCTTAGATCCCTCTCATTACGTATCTGCATCAAGAATGTTTAATGATTCCTTATACAAAAGTAGTAGAGCTGAACTTAAGCTAATGACAGATATAGATGAGTACTTAATGGTTGAGAAGGGCATTCGTGACAATGGCAAGTCACTGTTATGCCAAAGCTAATAATCCTAAATGTTCCGATTATAATCCAGGCAAACTAACATCTTGAATCTTATATGACGATATGAATGCTTTATATTCAGGTACGATGACCTAATACATGCCTACAGAAATATTGGGAAAAGTAAATCCAAAACAGATTCCAGACATATAAAGTATTGCACCAGATGCTGAAATAGAATATACATTAGAAGTTGATCTAGAAGCCTCAGTGCACTTGCATGATTTCTTTGCGGATTATCCTTTAGCACCAGAAAAGCAGATAATTCTAGAAGAATGGCTTAGCTTGCATAATGAAAGATTAGTACATGATAAAGAAGTTAGGATAGAAAATATATAACAGGAGAAAAGCTTGTTCAAACTCTTTATCCCAAAAATAACTACGTAGTCCATTATTGTGTACTTCAGTTATACATGAAAATGGGGATGAAAGTTACAAAGATTCATAAAGGATTAAAATTCTGGCAGTCTTCATGGATGAAAGAATATATTGAGAAAAATATTCGTAAACGCAAAATAGCTAAGGCCACTGGGGATGAGTTTAGAGTTATGTACTATAAGTTAAAAAATAATGCAGTCTTCGGCAAACAGATGGAAAATGTTTGAAAACATATGAGAGTAGAATTACTCTAAATAGAAGAGGATAAAAAAAATTAGGCGTCTAGTAAGTTCTCCATTATTTGTGGGTTTCAAATAATTTGAGGGAGGAATTACAGCCATTCATATGTTAAAGAGCACAGTAACTTTAAACAAATCAATCTATGTAAGGCAGGCAATTCTCGACATTAGCAAGACTATGATGTTTAACTTTTGGTACAGTTACATACAATCCCTGGTGAAAAGAATGGCAGTGCAATCTTTTACTATATAATTAACTTTTTTTAAAGGATTTGTATAAACAATTACATAGTATTTTATATATATTACTAGTCCAAATTCTATGTGTATTATTTGAAGCTCGCAATGCATATTTTAAAATGAATAAAATTTTTGCGATCGTGAAATAAGATCAAATTGAGTGTTTGATTTTTAAAATTAAGATTACAAAGAAATTTACTATGTTAACAAGCTTCACTTACTAATAAATAAATGTTCAGCTAAATATTCTACAATAGAAATAATATATTCTAACTAAGAAAGTAGGAAATAGAAAGCATGAAGTTAAATTAATATGAAAAAAAGGCTAACTTTCTAATTTTTTAGTATTTTAACTTGTATTTAAATCCAGATTGACAGAGAAGGAGAATACTTTTTATATTTTAATTTTTTGAGTGTATAATTTCTTAATCAAAAGCATTTGAGAATAAAAAAAATTTTGAAAGTTATTTATTAAAAACTTTTATTATTCAAAAAAAACTTTCTGCCATTCTTTTCGCCAGG